CCGTCCCTCCCCACATATTGACTGGAAATGATGTATCGTGTGGGGCAGAGATGTGGTGAGGGGACCTCGTGAACCCCGCAGATATTAAAATGAAACCAAATCCGGTGCTGGGCTAACGACACCGCCATTTCGCACGCAGAGGAAAGGCAACAATAGGCGATACCCGGCAGATAGAATGGCATATTGAAATTAAATAGTAAATATTCTAAGAATGAATCTGTCAAATATTGAAAAGAGGCTTCGTGAGGCAACGTTTATATAACTTTAAAGCTTTCAAGTTTATTTGAGTGGTAGCTTTTAAACATCCAACATTAAAGGAGTTAACCTTTATAAAAAAAAAACAAACAGCTTAGACAGCTTTTGGTGGCTGAAGATATATTGAACATAATTTTAGCACAAGTAGGTCCCATACATAAAAGATATTTAAAAAACAATGTTATACAAATATAAACGCTCATGTTATTTACCATGCAAAAGCATCGTCCTTTCACATAAAAAATAACAAGAAAACAAGCTATTTTTCCAAACAAACTCTCCAATTTATCTGCACACGAGGGGTCAAGAATGGTGTCAACTTTCAACCCGGGTCCATTTGCCACTCTTCCCCAACCGCGTCACCACCGGGCTCACGAACAAATGAAATTCATCTTCTTCTTCATCCATAGCCATCCATCAACGAGACAATGCTCGACATATCGCTGTGCGTAACCCCGGCCCTGACAACGCTGTAGACGGTGAAGATATCGTATCAATCACGGGGACCGACCGACACCTCAACAAAGGCTGCAACCTAAGGTGTGACTGCCTCAGTGACTGCGCACTGAAAAGGCAACAACTCCATTTACCATGTCTTCAAAACGGGGATAGGATTTCGCTGCAGATTCAGGTGCTGATTTTTCTTTTTGTTTCGAGACAGGCTCGTTCATTACTCATGTCAACGACAAAGTGTCACAGCAAACCCCATCGCTGAAGAAACAAATATCAGGGTCACCGAACGACCGTGGCGCTCCTTTGAACCTGTCGCCGTTTATAATTTCGTTGCTGTACTTGGAAATCAGAAGATTTCATCACGACATCACAGCGGCAGATGTAACATTTTTTTCGTGTTCAAGAAATAAAGGTTTTTCAAAACGAACAAATAATGCAAACAAATAAATTAATTAATCAATAATTTGATAAATAGATAAATCAAGATTTGCAGTTGATGAATGTCGTATGTTTTCAATTTCTCATAAACGAAAAATTTCAACGGATGTCGTTGAAAAAATAATAAATATTCAAGATCATACACGGCAGCTCATGTCCACGGAGCGTGGCAGTAATCCTAATATTTTTGTGCTTCAGTCATTTTTTGAAATTAAGTTAAAAAGTGAACTGGTTTTCTTTAACTTTATATTTCCTTCTAATCACTGTACTGTGTTGTGTTCTATTATATTATATTATATTATATTATATTATATTATATTATATTATATTATATTATATTATATTATATTATATTATATTATATTCCTTCGGTTATTTTTATTCATTTAATATTGGTATCTTTAGCAAATATTTTTGCACAATAGAATGCATAAAAATGTCGAAAGCTACGGCGCCGAGAAGGAGGATTCATAGTCCGCACTTTTCTCTCCTTGATGATACTTATCTTATTTTCGTAAATCTCCGTCCTATCATTTGATTTTTCTGTTCTTATTCTTGCCACTTTCTCCGTCACTATTTAATGCGAAGTCTGTATTAATTATAATTGTCTATGCACTATAGATGTCATAATTATTGCTTTTAATCAAAATCATCATCTATGGGACAAGTTATAATTCAACGAGACGATATCATCCAAGGACGACGTGGTATAATAACAGACGTATCTTTTTTTTTTTTTTGTCTTTTTATGTATTTGCAGAGCTAGTGAAAGCAAAGAAAAAGTTCACTTGCCAAAATGTCGTGTTCAAGCGGTGTACCTGCTGATGCGTTATGATGAACTTCTGTTAACTGATTGCATATATTTTTTCATGAAATCTATTAACACTCAGCGGAGTCCTCTACGCTAAGCTCACACATTGAAATACAGTTTGCCATTTAGTTACGTATTAGCCTGTCTGTTCAAACATCTCACAACAACATCCACTCGAACATATAATCATAATGAAACTGAGCGTGTGAGCCACTAAGTATATTCAGATTGTGCCTTGTTATTTAATCGACCGCTCCTCATTATATGCCATCAAATATTACGGGATATACAAGGGAGCTGTCGCAATTGCGAGGTATTCATGGACCACCAATCGCAATGTCGTCTTCTCAACTATCGTAATTGTTTTATGCTTTCTTTGCTTTTGCCATTGACATCCGAGAGATTGAAAAGACAGATGAAGACACTTAAGTAGAAATGGGAGATAGGAAGGGGGCAATTAGAGAGAGAGAGAGAGAGAGAAGGGAGAAAGAAAAAAGAAAGAAGCTGAGCGAGCGATCTTCCAACAATAAGGCACGGGGATACTTAGTATTTATGACTTTAAAACGAAAATATTCAGTTTGAGAGAGAGAGAGAGAGAGAGAGAGAGAGAGAGAGAGAGAGATGATTTAGTATTTATGAAGTAAGTTTGGCGAAGTAAAGTGCAGTGGTAATTAACCTTTTATTTAAAAGTTTACGATTTCAGATATGTACAGATCAAAAAAGAAGAAAGTTTCTAAGGAAATATCGACAGGAATGTGACGTGCAACTGAATACAGCTTCTGTTGTAATCTAATGGTTTAAAATCTTTTAGTCAATTCAAACTTTGAACCAAGATGTATAAAAATTAAAAAAATAAAGTTTAGCGCTCGTGGTTAACCTGCAAACCCGCAAACCAATGGTAAGCCTACAAGTACTCATATGTCCTTTAGAAACTGAGATTTCACATGCCAGCAGCGTCTTTCCACTGTTATGATGTTGTTATTTCCCTCTCACTGACTGCGTAAGGACACTAGGACACGCACGTGCTTGTGTTTCCATAAATTCTGTACTGATAGAGACGCCATTTGTAGAGACTTTAAAGGCTTGACATGTACACTCATAGCCATAGTCAAGAAAACAAATGTACAGTAGATATGAAATATATTTTATAACTATTTTTTGTGTCACGTTAACATATCTTTTATAATAAATTAATAACACGAAATTTAATATCAGTTAGAAATACTTCATGAACGTGATTAATTCAGGATTGTTAAAAAACTGACGAAAATGTTAATCGTTTCTGTAAAGATCAATTTTTTTTACGTTTTTTGGACGTTTAAACCCAAGTGCCAACATGTATCATCCGATTTCACTGGTTTCCAATTTTTTTTTTCAGTGGAGAGCATCTGCAGTGTAAGGTTATCTGAGTTGTTATTTTTTCTCTAAGCTCCCGATACATTCATAATTATTCTAAACTGTGATCGACTAATCATGTTGGATGTCAAGAACATAGATTTTTTTTAAATTAAAGTAGAACAACATGTTGCAAGTGAGAACGGAAAGACAGGATTTTGAGCGTCTGAAAAGTGATATAACTTTATTCCTTACATGACCAGTCTTTACTTTCTAGAGATTGAAAGAGGGAAAAGTAAAGGGGGGGGGGGTCTAAAATATCGTTTATGAAAATCAAATGAGACATTTTGATGTAGACATTTTTACAATGCAACGCGAATTACACTAATAAACAGGAAAATCAAAAGACAAAGAACCATATGGATTAGATAGAGTACGCAAATTAAACTTATGGAAAATTAGTTAAAACACATATGCAGTGTAAAATATGGGGCCCTGCAAGTAAACACCTTGTAAAAAAAAAAACACTGCAATCTTGGCATTGACCATCAATGTATATCTTATAGTGCCCACTTTCTATAAAATGTGCAAAAGACTGAATAAGTCCATAAACAACACACAACGCCCTTACACATGTTCCTTAAGATATTTGTTTGTGTCCAGTATAAGTGGTCTGCGGCCTCTTTGACCTTAGTCAGATGGGTCAAGAGTACTGGTCAAGAACGTTGGTGTTTTCTATTCACGTGCTCACGCGCTGGCACAGAGTTCGTCATGCTGAAATGGCGCAGTTGTTTACGTATCGTGTATCAAGTTGTTGACTTTCGACTCAACGGTTGTGTGTGTTCACTGAAATGTTCAAATCTATAAGATGAGATTTTTGACTTTCAACTCATAAATTTGTGCGTGTGCAGCGGTATGTCCAAAGTTCTCGGATTTGAGATTTCACACCTTCTCGATAAATAAGTATTTTTAAAAAGAGAAAACAACTGTTCGATTTTGTCCAAAAAATGGATTTTCCTGGGTTAGACGACTAAGGTTAATGAATCCGTTCAGTTCCATGTTTTATTTTTTCCTAAAAAGTTTTTTTTTGTAATAACCTCATTAGAGATTATTAAGAGATCTTTTAAAAGGTTTTTAACCGAGGGTAGACATCTATGGAGGTTACGTGGTCCGATGACAAGTACAAATTCCACAGTAATTGCGGTAACCGCCCGTTTCGGTTGTAAAACAGAATTAATCATATTTCTATGAGTTGCTTACAAAGTATTTATGCGAAATATGGGTCTCACACGAAGAGTTGTTATCCCTTTAACTTTTGAAATCCGAGTGCTTGTTTTCTAGTGATGCTGAACCGTGCTGTGGAGGTCGAGAGAGCTTACATTTATGACATTATTGTAACAGTAACCTTTTGGACAATGAAATCAGACAGGCAAAGAAATAGTAACAAACATCACACTGAAATTAATGTACACATATGCATATTTTAATTCAGAAAGGTAGCTCAAGGTGACTCAAAGAAGAATCTGAAATATAATTCATTTCAGCATTTGTCTTTCTTTCTATCCTCGAGAGAGTAAACAAGTTTAGCCTGCAAGGTCTCTACCGGTGACGTCTCTGTCACAAAACACGTTACGTAAACATAAACACGCGCGTGCTGACGTACCTCCATTCATGTCTTACGCAGTCAGCGAGAGGGAAATAACTAAATCATGACAATGAAATGAGTTTTAAAGCCGCTGCTGGCATGTGAAATCTCAGTTTCTGAAGGGTAAAAGTACTTGTACAATTGGTTTGCGGGATCAGAAAAACTGAGGTGTCAGGCACTGTTATTTGCAGTCAGAGAACTGGAATAATACAATTTAGACACGTTGGAGATATATGTATGACCGCAGGTAGGATTGGTTTCGTACTTAAGCGAGTGATAAATATTCAATCATTTTAATTAGTTGTGAAGTGACGTAATATACTGAGCGTTTCACAAATAATTGTGTTTAAGCTCTTATTGATGCAACGTTTCGCAAGTGTTTTATTGACCGCTTAGATTTTAGTGTTCGAAATATTAACCAAAATTAACGTATACAAATTTATGGTAGTTGCCAACCCTTTGTTTGTTTATTTGATTTCAGGTTTGAATTTGGTTCTCCTGTATCAGATATGCGAAGAAGAACAGTTTAAGAACAAAAAAGGATTTGAGAAATATGACATTAAGGGAACAAATTACATACAAGCCGAAAGTGGTCTATATCAATGGAAACCGTTGAACCGAAAAAAAGCCCACGACCCAAGGAAGCAGACGATGGTGAGAAAAATCTCCCCCAATCGTCTGCTCGAAGAGAGAGTGTGTTCGATCCGAGAAAGAAATCAGTAAGTGAGTCATCTTAAACAGATGTGTTTGTTTTCTTTCTTTTTTTTTTTTTNAAAGAAATCAGTAAGTGAGTCATCTTAAACAGATGTGTTTGTTTTCTTTCTTTTTTTTGTATATTTTCTAATCCGCAGAGATCACGATATTTACCGTAAATACCTAGCGTAAATTACCCTCTTATCCATCATATGATGTGTACGTGGTGTTGTTTACCAGTCACTTATCACTTAAATGGCACCTTATAGACAAGCAAACCAAAGCCAAATCTTCTGATAAAGAACATGACGTCGTTGTCATGGATTTAACTTTTCAATTTTTACGCATACTACGTTTTACCTGTGAGGGTTTTCTTTTAACCATTGGGACTTAATCGGGCACTCTGAAACACACTTATGGACCACTATTCACTGTGATTCGATAAAGCTATCTAGAAAACTGAAGCGGATTGAGTTCTTGTTTGTAATGATGTGTTTGAAGCTGGCCTCTTTATACCATAAACTTATTCAATGGATGGTATTGTGTAACTTTTCATATATGTAACAATCTTCTGAATTTGGCTTGTTTCTGAGATTCAGAGTAATGTATATTTGGTCACGTACAGTAGCGTGCCTCAGGTCGACTCGACCTTGCAGACCGTCTTAATAACATTGATGTAATATATTATAATGCTATACATGTGTACGTTTCAAGGAGCAGGCGTGTTAATTCAAGTGGCGCTGCGCTTACCTCTATGTTGGCTTAATCAACCCTAAAGTACTAGTTACAATCGTCTATGGCGTTTACGTAACGAATCCATTTATTTCAAAGATATTTAGAATGAGTACTAAAATCAAAAAATGTCAGTGAAAACTCCACATGTTCATCCATTTTGTTCTTTTTTATTTCATCCTTGAACCAATTTACCCCTAGGTCCAACAGTGTCCCATGTCCAGTGTATAATTTTAACTTTACATATTGCACAAATACTGTAGTAAATGTAGCTTATTATGATAACCCCTATGAAATAATAAGTGACCAGATGCTCATTGTACCGCGTAACATGTTAGCCCGCCTGTAAAACTTAACCCCATTCCCATAGACACCACTGGTCTACGTGGAACGACCTAACTCTGCCGGGACTCTCACTGAGTGCAATCTGTAAAAATTGATATGAACTTTCTTAGTATGACGTGTAATAAAAATGCTATAAAAGCAATAATTATTGTAGTAAACGACTGTGTAACTGTCAGTCCATAGATCCTATACCTTCATAGCATCTTATGGTACCAAACTGCTTTTTTTGGGGTTAAAAACGACTCTTTTTTGTTTTCTTTGAAGCGTGTAAGTGTTTTCCCTCTTATTTGGAATTCCAGCATTCCGTGAAGAAATTCGAGAGACTGGTGGAATACGTACGAGAACATGTGATAGGACAGGACGCCGTGTTCGGAGGACCCTTTGGCCCAAGGCCAGGTACGTCACCCGCTAAGGTTGTTTCCAATTTTTAGTCTGTCAAAAACTTGTTTTGGAAGAAATCTAGAAAATATAATCAAGTATTAAAATGTGTATTTTTACACTGATTCCATTTTGTCGCTATACAC